CAGGCCTCTGCTGTGTAGACCACACATCCACACATCAGCCTTTTATTGTTCCTTCCACTGTGGTAATGGAAACAGAGTCAATGTGGCACGGAGGGGGAGGAAGTGGTGGCCAGGGGCTGTGAGTCCTGGGCCTTGCATGGCTCCTCCATGGTTGGCATTTCTTTACTCAAACACTCTCATGCACACATACACATTACTGTGCACAACCTGTCTTTCTCTCCCACTCTGGATTTGACACACACACGCTCCTTCTACGAGGGAGTTCGGCAAGCCGCATTGTAGTGAAAACACACACCGCCCCTGTATCCCCTCAAATGGTAGGAAATCCTGGACATGTCTAGCACATTTAGAAAAATACTTGAGGTTTGGAGAAATTGGGATCACCTCATCTCAGAGTAACGTGATGCTGTTTAAATTAAAAAATGAAGGGGGGCCCATATGGAAGCCATTGCAGACCACGGCATGCACGTACAAATCAAAAGAACTTCAGGCTGGCTGCTAATGAGGGTGACTGTGACGTTTTTATGTTGTTATCCTACTGTGTGGCTTGGGCAATGGATGTATACATAGGTTGGGAGGTAATATCCACACACACATACAGGAGGGTCGGGCGGTATTGTTACAGCGTAAACACATTTTTATGGTCTTTTAGCCTTTGAATTATAGTATCGGCTCTACACATGGCAGGTAGGGTTTAAAGGTTGGTAGGCAAGGGGGATTTATATACCTTAAAGAGCAACTTGCAGGTTAGAGACACCAGTGAATAAATGTGTAGGAAAATGATGAATACACTAGATTTTCCAAAAAATATACAGAAATATACCAAACTGACAGAGAGCGTCTTGTGCCCTGTTAACAGTCAAGCACCAGTACATCTCCAAAAAGTAAACAATAATATAAGTTAGGCTTTAACTTCCATGCAGGACACTCATGGTAAAATTGAAACAGAACAATACAATTTCCTTTAATGCTCCAGTGTGTCTTTTACATTTTTTAATTGATCTAAATTTGAACACAAAGCTGTTAGATGCTGTGGTATTAATTGAGTCAGTGCTGCCTCTGGTTGCTGTTACTGTGTGTGTGTGTGTGTGTGTGTGTGTGTGTGTGTGTGTGTGTGTGTGTGTGTGTGTGTGTGTGTGTGTGTGTGTGTGTGTGTGTGTGTGTGTGTGTGTGTATTTGAGTGCATGTGTATTTGAGTGAGTCACCAGGAGAATGAGGGCTTTCACCCCTGCTAGCCTTAAAGGACAGCTCACATCATTATTGAGCACCAGGACTTAACCCTCCTTCACATGCTGACTGGTGACTTCTGAAAGCGATTCAGTTTAAAGTCATAATTTACTTGACAATATAACACTTTTTCTTCAGAGAACGGTTTGAAATTGCTTTTATATTAACAAAATATATGAAAATGTGTACTATTACAAGCAATCCAAAACATTTAAAGTAATTTACTGGATTGAAAGCAATTTAGAAAATCTTAAGATTAAACCCTATTATCCATCATTCTTCTTTGACAATTTTGCCTAGATGCCTTTCAGCGGTTACCACAGCTGCTGTCATGTTTCCCAATTCTTTCAAATTCAATGATAGTCATAAAGACCAGAAAATGTAATTTAAGCAAAACACATCTTACGTCAATTTACTGAATGGAAACATAAATGATTGGTATATAGCCTGTTGCTATAGATTCAAAGCATGGTTTATTTTTTTCATCTTTGGAATCAGGAAAATAAAGCATTTGTACGGAGTCTGCTGCATTAATTAACAACTACCAATGTTCCCCTGTGGTTCCCAACCACTTTGAAGAATCCTTCACAATAGACTAAGGGACTTAACCATTTACGAACTGAGGGGGAAAAAAAAATATCTGTGATTGGATCACAATGCCACATGTTGGCTGATTGTAAGCTCAAGAATTGTATCGTAAAAGCAAAAAGCGCCTCTTGGGAATCCTGTCAGAAAAATCCCTCTGAGGAAATGCTGCCAACTAGTCTCCACCGATGACTGGTGAAAAGAGATTTCTTTAAAATCCATTTTTTTCTTTTTTTACTTCAACACAGAGAGATGTTCTAATCCTCTGTTCATTGTTAGGGTTGTGTGGGACTGGCCGAGGGAAATAGCTTTTTGATGGCAATGGAGGGGAAAGGGAGCTTTGCCAAAGAGGGCTTCAGAAGTTAATGGGCCGATTTCTATGCTGACAGTAAAATCTTGGCTGGAGCCATCAGGAGCTTCCGAGGCGTTATCTACTTCAGCGGTTTTGAAGATTATCTTTAAAGGGAAAACAGAAAATGACAATGTCAAGAACAAGAGAGATGTCTAAAAGCAAAGGTTTAATCAAGATTCACACTAGATGGAATTATCACCCAGCTAAAGCTGATTTACGTGAGGAAGCATAACAGTTTAGAGAAATTCTTCTTCTTATTCTATCCCAGATAACAGTTATAGCCTTGAGATCGCCTCAAAAGCAAACAGCATCAGTTGTGGATTCACATTTTGATATCGCACCAAGGGTTGCAATGGAGTTTCTCTTGCCTGCGGGTAATGTTTGATCCGATGGATGAGATGTTGCCTGTGGTAACTGTTGCCCCTGCAGAACAAAGAACCAAGAAGAAAATGAGAGCCATTTTCTCAGTGAATGCTCTTACGTTCAGGTGCTTACAAACACTGATCTTTATTTCGGCAAGGGAAGACAGAAACAAGAGCTTCTTAAGTCTTAAAAATAAACATGCTATGCCGGAGTTCTGCCAAATCTTTGTGAACAGCTGTGGGTACTTTAACTTTCAAAGCTCTTAGGAGTGAAGAAGATCCAACTGGGCAGCTGTATGGCACACATATTGGAATGGTAACCTGAAGCCTTTAGGACAGACAGGTGACCTTCATGTTTCCTTCTGCATAACAATGACTCATTAAGAAATTCCCATTTCCTCACCCTTGCACACTTTTCCTTGCAGCAACAGTACAGTAAAGAAGGAAGGCTGAACACAGAGTTATCAGACTGCTGTGGTAAGATGTGTGTCTCTTGTAAACTGACACATAATTAATCACAAAAAGTTGCAGCAAACTATAAATTAGACGATGACAGGCAGGGGTTCAGGAGTGGCAAGGAGAATGAGGTTACCTCAGAAATGGAGACTAAGAATAGTGGGCGTTTGCTGTTGTTTGTCCATGTATGTGTGTAACCTTTTTTTATGTGGATATGTTTGTGTGTGTCTGAGCTTATCCTCCCTCCAAGGTTTGCCAGAATCTGCTTCAGAGCAGAAACCCGGCCAATAAGCCACGAGCCATCAGCAGCCAGGTCAGATTAGGTGTCTGTCGTTGGCCTTTGTGCTGATAACACCACAATGAGTGGCACTTCCCTACCACCACTTCACCTCGCCCGTCCCACACTTGTCAGTCCTCCACTGGTCAGATAGGCTCTGTCAGTTAAATAAGAGATAACGGGAAAGTCAAGAGGAGGGAGGGGGGTGTTCTCTGTTAGTTTAGCACCCCAGTCGAAGGGTTTTTGTTACTGATGAGGGTCACAGAAGAAATGAACAGCCTAAAGACAAAGAGGCATGGGGAAGGGGAAAGTTGACTTGCACATTAGCGGGTGTCTCCCTATCACTCTGTTTAATCTGAAGAGACAAGGGATCTCTTGGATTGATGGGATGACCATGGGAACGAAGAGAGAGAAGAGGGGACACAACTGTCGAGATCAATTTGACTTCACATTCTCTGTGCACATCTGCCTCTCTACCAGTGTATCCCTTACTCTATGGCTGTTTATCTATCTCATGCACACCAATTTAAATTTATATTTTCTATATGATTAATGTTTTTTTTGCTTCCTTATTAAAAACTTAAATTAGGGTTTATCTCTCAATCTTGCTCATTTGAGCTTTTCACGGTATTCACCTGGCAACCCAATTAATATTTCATAAGAGGCTCATCACCTTTTCACACATATCACTGATGATTAGCCTTGTGGGATAACCTCTACAGAATAGTCTCCTGGATAGATTTAGTTAGTCTGTCAACAGGAATCAGTTCACGCAGGATGAGACCCATGTCAAACATTACCTCTCTATTTCAGAACAGAGGCACATCTGCCAAATACTGTTATTGAACTGGCACTACAAGAGCGTAACCCAGCCCTGACATAAATATTAAAGGTGTATGGTTGAGAAATATTAATGTCATGTTCAATCAATCATTATTAACCAAGGGGAAAATCCTGTTTGAGGTGTAGCAGCATTAGCAATTTTTAGCTTTGGAAATGTCTGGATATCCCGCTTCTAAAATGTGTTTAACAATGAGCCTCCTCTCTGCCTGTCAAAACATTTTGCCTTTTGTCCTGAGGAATCTGTTCATTTCAGTAAGCTTGTTCTAAATAATGTTTCCGCAGGTTTATTGGAAAAGGCTATGTCTCCACCTATAGGGGCAAACACAGCACTACAATTCACAACATTTTCTTCATCTACCAAATGTATTCAAGAATCAATAGTTGAGTACAATAAGAAAAACACATTCATTGAAAATAAGTTTACTCAGGAAAAACGTTGTTTAAAAATGTACTTATAGTTATGTACTGTACTTTTTTCTGAAAATTATATCATCAAACAAGCTATTTACAGTTTTTTTGCATTGGACACAATGTGCGCAATTCATTTTCTGAGACCAGCTAACACCTGCTTATCTCTTACAGTTATAATTATAAATAAAAAAAATTGTGCTATGTAAATAGTATTTATTATTTTTCAATTGCTTTATAAAGTAATTAGCATCTAATGTAAATTACGTATTTAGGGTTTATTATGTGCATGCAATGTTGAATAATTGTAGAATTCCTGCTGAAGGTTTAAAGGAATTATTCTTTGTTGGGATTGAAATTCGGAGAGGTCTTGCCCCATTAACATGACAACATATTAGAGATGCTATAAATACAAATTGGAAAGGTCGTGGACACTCAGAAACATCAACATCAAAAATGTGAATATGAAGAATCAAACAGGAGGCACACATTTTAAAACTGAGTTTGTTGATGCTGTATATTTGTAAGTTTGGAGTAAATACAAAGTACATCAAACAGGCATACAACATACAAGCAAAGCATAGAAAAGAGAAGACCTTTGATGCTTTTTATACATTCTTATATACAGTGTAGATTATTAAGATATTACAGGAGATTAAAATAGAAATAATTTTCTCTTATCATCCGTGTGTCGAGTTAATGCTTTCATTTTTTAAATCTAGGAAAAATTAAGACGAGACGTGATAACACAATTTGTTGACGGGCATCACCATATGAACAAAACACTGTGCTTTTTTTCCTCTGCTTGTTTATCTGTTCTGGTAATTAAAATATTCTGTGAGACAAAACAGTGCTACAAAATAACTCAGGAATGTGATTATAAGATGATGTCTGATAAATGTATCTTGATTATATATACAAGTCAAGAGCAGTACAATTATTTTTTTAGCAATGTAACACACAAAGCAAAATGTGAGCAGAATGGAATGCTTGTTATATGTTTTGATAAAAAATATGACGATACACTATGAAAACTCTTTGTGTTTGTCACAAGAAAAGCACGTTTCTGATCCTTTGTCATCGTGATCTCATCCCTCCCACCAACATTCCTGCTCTATCTCAAAAGGAAATAAGTTATTTTGGTCCAAGAAAAGGTATCCGCTATTTCATCCAAGAAAATAAGGCTCGGTAATTTCTGCATACTTGTGAGTATATTTTGTTTTGCTCAAAAAACATCAAAATAGAGAGTCACACGTTTCTTTATGCTTTCTACAAAACAGAGAGTCACATTGTTCTTTATCCTTCCAACAAAACAGAGAGTACAAAGTTTGAGTGGGAGGATTAAGGTAAAAACATGAACAAATGTAAGGGGAGATGGTTTCCCTGAGTTTGAGTATGTGTGTGTGTGTGTGTGTGTGTGTGTGTGTGTGTGTGTGTGTGTGTGTGTGTGTGTGTGTGTGTGTGTGTGTGTGTGTGTCAGTGTGTGTGTGTGTGTTTTTCTCTGCCTGCCTATATGGTCTCTACATAGTTGGCAGGGAATAAGCCTTGGCGTCCATCTTTGCTCCACCCCCTCCACCAAGCTTTGTCCACCGTCTCCACGTCTTTTATGATGTCACCGGGTTCAAAGGAGATCTCAGATTCGTCCTCTGTGGGAACCGCAAGATAACATGGTGAAGACCCACTAATCACAGTGTAATTACTATAAGTGGAGGCACTTTATTTGCAGATGTGTGGCGATTATCCTGTAAATGGCAGCTTACCTGCTTGGTAGTCATACAACGCTCGGACACACATTTGTCGCTCGGCTGAAATCTGAAGTGAAGAGGAAGATGGAATCAGAAAAAGCTGTAATCATGTTTACGGCATGTCTTGATTAACCAACAAGGCAAACTAAATGAATAACATGGAAATATTGGTATTTATTAACTTTCATTTGAAAGATTAAGGCTTGTCATATTTGATATTCTTAAACAAAACTACTGAATAGTCGCCTATTAAAAAAGTTATTCACTATCCCATTGCAGTTCATTTAAAATCCCACAAACGCTGGTGCTTTAAATACCAACTAGAAGTAAATTGTCCCAAACACATGTACAATATACTTCTGTTCGCTGAAAACTACAGTATTAACTAATTAAAAAACATAAATGAACTTTTTCAAAGTAAAAATATGTTTGTTACTACTTATTTGTAAATATCTAAATCTTATTTAGGAAAGTATTGAGGGACAGACTTGTTTTTCTCATAGGACATTTTTGAAAATAAGAAAAATATGATCAATGACGACCTTTGGACTTAGAAGTCAATATTCAACTATACATTTTTCTAATAGCAAATTTCCGCTAAAAATAAATGTTGAATTTCGGACTAACAATGTACAAGTACAAAGCGTTTGTAGATACTGTACCTCCTGTCCATTTTCAGAGATGATCTGGTCCTCTTCTTCAATGACCTCGTCGTCCTCCTCTGCAGTGCCATGGAGATCGTAGCTCCCAGTCAGCTCTGGTGAGCTGAGCTCTGTGTCAGAGGGACTCAGAGACCGCCCTGAGGAACACCAGAGGAAAAAGCATTGACAAAGATCCATCAGCACAGGTAATTCATGTATTTAGTTATTGCTAAATAACCCTACATTGTATAATATTGTTTGAACATTTGATTTGCCAAACCTATTCCATTTTGTCCCTTTGTGCCCTCGCCATTTGTGATCCCATTGGTTGACAGGACCACAGTCTCGTGGTTGATTACTTCACAAATTGGTTCGCCATCTGAAATAATGGTTGTAATCTTTGGTCATTGTGCATTTTATACAAATGTCATTTCAACTTATGGAAAGCTGCAGGTACATCATTTAAATATAAATGCTGTCTGACAGTGTATCACAAATGTTAACACCGTCAAAATAACAGGATATGTGAAGAAGAAAAAAGGGCTACCTGTAGCTGTTGACTCTTCCTCTTTTTTTGAAAGCACAGCCATGTCAGAGGGATCCTGGCCGTCTTCTGATTGGTCATCCTCCTCTTCATCTTCCTTGGCCTCCTCTTCCTCCTGCAGCTTTTCCACTGGATGGTCCACTGTAAGCTCAGCTTCCTGTTTGAATTCCTCCTTCTCTTCTTTGTTGTCCTCTTCTACTTCTTCGTCTTCTTCCTCCTTCTTTTCCTCCACCTCTTCCTCGTGATCCTCAGTCTCGTCTGGTTCTGCGATGATAGTGCAAGACTGTTGTTGTGTTTCAGCCTTTCCTTCCTCGTGATCCTCCTCTTCCTCTTCCTCGTCCTCCTCCACCAGTACAGCCTGTACTTTGTAGGCTATTTCTGAGACCAGCTCAGTGTGCCCATGAGTGGATGTGTTGAGGTCTGTTGATTGGAAAGTGATATCGGAATTTGATAAGGTTGTAAATTGTTTTAAAAGACAAAAACAAAGGCAGTGTATGAACTGGTTGAAACACTATGACTATAAGGAATACAAAAGACTGGTTCTCCGGGTGCACATTACACTTTTGTTTTTGCTCCCATTTTTCATGAGATGAACTCAAAGATCTAAAACATTTTCTATATACACAAAATAACCATTTCTCTCAAATATTGTTCACAAATCGGAAAAAATCTGTGATAGTGAGCACTTCTCCTTTGCCGAGATAATCCATCCCACCTCACAGGTGTGGCATATCAAGATGCTGATTAGACAGCATGATTATTGCACAGGTGTGCCTTAGGCTGGCCACAATAAAAGGCCACTCTGAAACGTGCAGTTTTGCTTTATTGGCGGGGTCTGGGGGGGTCCGAAAACCCTAGGGTTAAACACTAACCCTAACCCTAACATGTCACCCACTGACATGTTAGGGTTAGGGTTAAACCTGACTGGTTAAACCCTAAAACATGTTTTAATGTGTCAGTGGNACCGTTTCCGATGAACCCCCCTGGGTCTAGACACTGGTGGTGGTGATAAGCCAACTCAGGGCCAAGCTCAACCTTCTCCCTTCCAACCGGACCTAAACCACTTATCACCACCACCAGTGTCTAGACCCAGGGGGGTTCATCGGAAACGGTTCTTTCCTTCCCGAATGACATCCTACCAAACCTGGGCCTAATCGCCAAAACACCATTTCATTCACTTGCTACAAACTGTCATCATTATGTTCATTTATATAATGTGACCCGATAATAAACATGTATTCCATACATCACGTCTCTCCTGAGTGAAATTACTTTACTTCTGAAAGGTTACTCTGGAAAAAAGGCTGTTACTTTATCGCTCAGCTTGTGGCATTTTGAGCCACCTCTGCCTACCCTACAATTACTTAATTCCAACAATTACATCCATTGCTCTTTTTTAGCTGTGATTTGAATAATTGTACAGTGAACCATTTCTGAGCCAAGTGGAGTGCCTTGGATAATGCTACGGATCATTGTGAATGGTGGGTAATTGTGAAAGCTTTTTGAGTCAATTGAGTTTGATAGCATTGGCTGTCCATGGTCATTTCTCTCTCTCACTGAATCAACACATTGGTTATGATGGACACCAGCGAATCATAATGTTATTTAGCGAACCTGTGGCAGTTATTTAGAATGAGCAATTTAGAGTTCAAAAATGCAATCTAACAGGGGCACTGACCTGTGCTATCAAGTATCTTGAAACATCTTGTAGACTTTTTCAAACACGTCTACAGTACAATCAGAATTCTAAACCTTAAATGTGAAAACGATTGTCAATATTCTTAATAAATACTCAAACCTTGTATCTTTCTTACACACACATATGACCCACCCACACAGAGGGTGGGAAAAAAACAAGCTATATGTCATCTTGAGCACAATGCGATGAAATGAATCAAGACAACGACAACGTAGCAGTGTTTACAACATTTCATTTACAACTGCCACTCCATCAGCATGCCTTTATGAGCCCTGGAATTCCTTTTCCGTGTGGCTTTGCTGATACATTCGTTTTGTGTGTGTGTTAATGTGTGAATGTCAACAGATCACATCTCAGAGGCCACCCGATTTTCACAGTTAGTCCTGATGACAATGCTGTGGTACATAAATTACAAACATATTTTTTCCAGCCCTCCCCACAGGAAAAACAATTTGTTTCGCCCAACATAAACACAATGCCATAATAAGAGCTCATTATGAGGCGACCAGATTCATTTTGTCTGTAACAGGAGAAAATACTCCAGAGATTTAACATGGGTACTTTACAAGGATAAACATTTTCCCTTGATGCATTGCTGATTTTCTACTTGCACTAGTTCCATTATCAATAGCATTTTACTGAATTATTAGACAGAAGAAAAAACAATGTTTGTGCCTCTCCTTTGATGATAGATGAGAGTCATCAAGCACTTAATTCAGTTCCTATGGTTACATCTCAGATCAGTCTTACTCTGGGTGATGTACTGGACCAAGGAAATATTTGCATGTTGATTTTCAGTATGAAATGTACGGCTAATTGCTAAAATATTGTGATAAGACTGTATTGTGACAACATATAATCAAAGTAACCCAGATATAGTGAGTATTAAATGCTCTCACTAGACTTGGAGGTCTTTGGTCGATTAAAATCAAAGAAACTGGCGCTTTCCTTTTGCACCCCCTCTGTGCCTTTGTGTTCCTCTAAGCCCTTGGTAGTCCTCAGCAGACAAGTGCAAAGGGCCGCTTGCAGTTACTTAATGCTCTTCAGTAGAGAATTTATTTTAGGAAGAATAAAGTGCATCATGCCAAAAGGAAGACTTTCTGAACCACGATCTGCTTAAGCCTCAACCAAGGGCACAGTGAGTTACGGCTCCCCACAGCACGGTGTCATGAAGAGAAGCATGGAGGAGTAGAGGTCTGGGGAACAGCGAGGCGCGTGGCAATCGATTTCTCTTTGGGAGAATCCAACACAGACACTGTTGTCGCCTTACTGATTCCTCTCTTCCACCTCTCCCTGCCCTCTACTGCTCCCTAGTCCTCCTCACTCGCAATTTATTTATTTTGCCTCTCTCCTACTCTCTCTATCTGGATCTCTCTCACCTCACTCAGGCCCTTCTGCCAGCTGCAGATCTGGAGGGGTTACTTCACAGTATCTTCTTGCTAGAATTCAACAGCCTAGCTTTGTGACGCTGGCCTGACCCAGCCCTAATTAAACGCAATTAGAGAAATCCAAAGGACTCTGGCATAATCCTCTGGACTGCAGTAGGAGCAAGAGAAAGCACAAGCAAGAGGGATAGTCGAGGGAAAGAGGGTGACTTGGCAGGGGAAGGGACAGCACATCCCTGCAGAACAAAGCCAAGCGGAGCGTAATGTATCAAACACATGGATTAGTGGTTAGCTGGGAGAGCTGGGGCTGAGCGAGAGCCTGTGGTTTCCAGCTTTCTTGGAGGCTGACTTGGCCCAGTGAGAGACAGGGGGCCCTGGTTAGTCTTGTGGGAGGCTGGAAATCCATTTTTGAATGTGTAAATTGACAACTGTATAAAGATAAGTAAATATATCATAATTCTGTCTAGGAGGATTTATTTTAGTTTAAAAAGACAGGTGCTGTGATTATTAGTTTACCACATATATGTAACCAGAATCCCATGATGAAACACCGGAAAAAGGAACGACTGAGAAACAAGGAAGGACTGCAGATTGATTCATGCCACGCTGAATAGAGGCAAACTTCGTAGTCCACTTTCCGTGAAAAGTAACATTAATGCATATTTTCTTTTCCTCGTAGAGTTACTCCACATTTTTAGATGGATTGAAAATATTATCGCTCTATAATTCAAGAATCCATGACCAAACAAGTCTCAAGCGGGGTCACTTACGGACAACCGTTTCAGAAATAACGTCTTATACATTTCAATGTATTAACAATTAGCTCACACAGAACAGTAACTGTGAGCCTGTTTCTTATGATCATCTTCTCACCTCTCCTATTGTGTTACAAAGGCTGCAATATTTTCATAACCGTGGAAAGATAATCTTGCACTTGACTCCCAGTATTGAGTCATTTCAACAGACCCACTTTTGGCCATGTATTATTCACGGGTATTCAAGCCCCACTCTGGCCCAGGGAGGAAGTGCTCCCTCCCAGTCTCCGTCACAGGATATCAGCCTCTAATTCATTATTCAACATGCTGGAGCAGGGCCACTCAGTCTAACTCTGTGAGAAGCTGCCTGGACAGGGGAGGATGGTGTGGGACTGCAGAGGCTGGTCTGAGGCCTCCAGTGATTTCCCTTTCTAGATGGACGAGTGGATGGATCTTTCTATCTGGGTTTCGGATCTTGTTACAGAATTTATGCTGTGTTGAACTCAGCAATCACAGTTGTTTGCTCACCTGATGAAGACGATGATGATGCTGTTAGTGATGATAATGACGCTGCAGCTGTGGCTGCTGCCAGCAATGATGGCGATGATGATGAAACTAATGACAGAAATGTTAAACTTTGAAAAACGTTACAATTAAAATGTACAATGTTTTTCATCATATTGCGATCTTAACTTATTCTGCATCTGCATCATCATTTACCAGTGTGAACGCAGTAACACAACTTCCCTGATAAGCATGGACAGACAGATAGACTACGTAATGTCTTCATTCAACTTTTAAAGGAAATTTGGAATCTTTTATAGACTTTTAAGGTCAGACAGGCATTGAGCAAAATATACTTCCTCTGTCCCTTTAAGTTGTGTTTTAGGAGGCAAGTGGCAGGTTGTACTGATAAACTGATATGATATAAAGAATTTCACAATATTTGAGTTTTGCTTCTCCAAAGATGTTATGTTGCATTGTGCAAACATGTTGCTATATTTTCATACAATAATCACTACATCATGTTAATCTCATTGAGATTGAAACAAGGTATACAAAATTGATGGATTATATTATTATATTGTATACAAATTCTCAAATTTTCTAAATACTTTTTAATTGGATCACCAAACGATGAAGTGAAATATCATCAGACAAAGGTACACAACATGTTCCTTTCAGAGAGAGGTTATCACAGCAATTCCTGAAAAAGCAGTACTTATTTTCAGCAAATTGAACCTTGTTAAACAATAACAATGCATGATCTTACTGCAGATTTTCTTCACACTGCTATTCTCTTTTCTGAATCTCTCTACTCTTTTGATATTAAACTGCTTTCTCGCTGTCAAGAAAAAGTAGAAGCAGTAATACTAATAAATAAGACAGTAGTCGGATAGAACTGTTGGTAGATAGATTCACACTTTTATATGCATCTACAGTACAACAAAAGGCTAAATATCCATTAAAAGCCATAACAGCCTACAAAATGAAAGTTTCCAATCCACTTTTGTAAGTGTGAGGAAAGTGGTTAAGAGGTCATATTTGAGGGCTTGGAAAAAGATCAATCAGTCTGAATTAGGTCAGTGCCATCGAGGTCTCGGGAGGTGGACGACAGCAGGGAGAGTATCTAGTTTTGGGTCATCTGTGCCCCTGACAT